TGTGGACTTATGGATCATTCCAGTGTGAACCCGAGCAACTCAGTGCACATGAGACTCCACTGATGTACATCGCACACGGTGTCCACACCACATACAAGAATCCCATCAACTGGTAAACTGAGTAATACAGTTGTATCCTGAAGTGTGATGGTGGCCTCACCAACTGGTAGATAAAATGTGTGTGTCTCAATGCACCTTCACTCTATAAGTGCAGTAATGAGATGCAACTCCAGTTGAATGTGCCTAAGGTGATATACCCCATAAAATTCAATTGTGTGTAGATGCTGAATAACCCGTTTGTCTGTGATGGTAACTCGACGAAGTGGAGCCTCTGATCACCTTCAATGTAACGGTGGTAGCTCAATGCCCTCCCAAATAGAAGTCATTCAATGGTCACACTGCAATGATAGTACGAATACATAATCGAGGCTTGAATGTAGTAATAAACGCGGATCACGATCCATGTCTACAACCTACATCATGATATAATATACAAACATGAGTTAAAATATATAAACAACATCGTTAATATTTATATGTACCAATGTTAATACATCCTATGCATAAACATTTTGGTAACTTCAAACATTATCATATGATGCATAATGTGCTCGAACAATAAATAACACAATACAACTTACACACAACATTAGAGTGCATTGTTAATACATAAATAACATCACAACGTACAAAGTTTGGAATTCACTTATACATTACATAACGCAAGTCAAAGTTAAATAACAACATCGACATAACATATTTATAATGGATGACCCATTGCAGAAGTTGATTGGTTCTTTGCTGGACATGTTCGACGATCGTGCCCTATTTGCAAGTAAATATTGTAGTGGTTTATTTGCGCCCATCTCTCAGGTGATCCATTTCATTGGGTATGCGCGATGTCTATGGACGTCCTCTAATTCCTTGATGCAACGACCTATCAGGGCATAATGTAGGGCCATCAATATCTTCCCAATAATCTTGGTGGTGTAGATGATGAAGTTCAGGTGCCCAAGTCGACTCAAGTGCAAGGATGCTAAATAATGGATCGATTAAATGTTAAGAACTAACATGGAAATGCGAGCAAGCGGCCATAACATGAGAACAATGCATTTTATAAATTATAAATTTTCCACAAGTGCATGTCTGGTCATGAATATACATGACATGTATATTACTGTTATTAGTGATTGCCTCTGCAACTTTCCATCGCATGCGAAATGGTGTAACATTACACATTCTTGCTTTGATTTGGTTGGGTTGCATAAATTTGATTGCATCAGGGGAGTACTCTACACCATTGTCTATGCAGCATTATACATGCTCACAACGCTTACAAAAGTATTTTGTGAGTTGATAAAATACGAATTTCACACATGCAGTTATGGGAAGCATCCTTGCACTTTTCAATGCACCATTGAATATCTCTGAAACATTGGTTGTGGTTATTCCATATCGCCGGTCACCATCATGGGCAATTGTCCACTATTGTGCTGGAATATTATCTAACCACTCCCACGCCTTTGGTTCTACATTTTTAATATCTTCCACTATCAAATTAACTTGCGAATCTGATGTGCTGCCCCAAGCTTCCACACTTGATCTTTCAAATATGTGTTCTTGAAAGTTGTGTTGAAATTTTTTTGTACATGCCTAAGATAGAAGCGGTGATAGGTGTATAACTCATTCCATCTCGAATTAATTTGCTTAACCGTTGAGAGTATACCTTTATGTCGATTTGATATTAAACATATACCAGCTCTATTCAACACAACAGAATGGCGTAGATGATATAGGAATCAACCCTAGCTTTCACGAGTCTCCTCAAGAACAAAGGCAATGCCAGAAGAAAAATTTGCTTATCAGTGTCAATCCCAGTAGCAATCAGAAGCTTATGCTTATACTTTCCATTTACAAATGTGCCATCATTACTAATTACAGACTGACAATAAACAAATCCATCAGTAAAAGCTTTGAATGCCCAGAATACCTTCCCAAATATGTCGAATGTAGGAGCACAAATCTTGTACTGCCACCTTACAATCGTGCCAAAGTTGTATTTCACAAGAGCACCCATAAACTTGGGCAAGATGTTGTAAGAACTATCCCAGTCACTGAAAACCTTTGCTATAGTCTTATTCTTCGCATTCCACGCCTTCTTGTACATTATCAAATATTGATACTTTTTTTTCACCATTTCTCTGATGACAGGGATTGTTACATTTGGTATAACCCGAACCAAACCCTTAATCCTTCAAGAAATAAAGCTCGCATCAAGTTAACAGTGGTCCTGATTCAATCTTGGGTAGAAACAAGCGTGAGATCCCTGATATTTTGTGATCTCAAACATTCCGTACTTCGCCTTCAAAATCGCCCGTAGCCTCTATTTGCATCCACATTGAACATGCATCTTACACCTTAAAATGAAGCACGTTTTGTTTGTATTAGCAACAATATACTGTTGGTGCATCTTTAATGAATACAATTTCATTGCCATCTTCAACTCTTTTTTATTCCTGAACACTATACCCTTTGACAGTTCAGGTCTTGTAGGATCCTGTGTTTAAAATCCATCTAAATTGCACAAGCTGTCAACTTCATTCCGGGTTCCCGGTTCAAGGTTTGTGAAGAATGTTGACTTTGGCTCGTGCATAAGAACCTCACCATCATCCTCAATAGAATTAACTTCGTCATCTTCATCAGACTCATCGGTTAATAAATCTTCTGGCAATTCTTCTCGTTCGTAATACTCATTTCGGTCAGAAATACACATTCCTTCATACGTATTATTAGCAATCTAATGTACTACAAGTTCTTGGATGGGGTCCACTGGCACCAATTTTGGGATAACTACAATCATTTTCATCCGCTCGTTACCTCTGGTAGCACTATAGTTTTGCTAGGATGAGCATTTGAAAAAAGTACTAGGCCCTGTATCTGACTGTTTATGTGTATATCGACTGTATTCTCCCATACACTGCATTTTTACAAGGGTATAATAATTATCCACCATTGTTGAAGGGCCAAGCATTGTGATATATGGTTATTGGTTGAGTAGGGAAGAGTATGAACCACCATCAGGCCAACTTTCATTACTTCTACCAATGTCATTGGACATAACTTATTCGCTCATATTCAAGTCCACTTTGTTAACACCTTGATTGTCAAATACAACATCTATCATTGCCTCTACACCATCATTGTCAACAACTTATAATAGAATATATGTAAAAAGGTTAGTTCCCAATACAGTAGGAAACCTACAGATAAGTTTGAGGTTGCATTTATTTCTATCTATCCCCATCACATCATGCAACCTATCTATTAAAGCCAAGTGACTTGTGTCATGAGCAACCTTTATCACATGCTTATAAACATTATCATATCTTAAAACAATATCGTTCTTGGATATGTTACCACACCCAATAAACCATCACAGAAGCACATCTTCCAACCATTCATAACAATTCTACAATAAAGACATCAAAAGTAACACTAGATATCGTTTACAAAGACGTTAAGTTCAGTTAATTTCATCGTCATAACGTTTGAAATATAATTCTTGGATCTCTATTTACCAGTAAACAATCTAGGTATTCAATGGATTCTTTGAATAATAGATGTTTGGTTGGAGAGATGACACAAAATATTTTAAAACAAATGTCAAAATTAGACGTAATTGGAAAATCAATTAGTGCAAAAATAAGAAATACCAATGTACTCATCTCCAAAATTCAAAGGGACCAGACTAGTGATTACATGAGAAATACAGTGTTTTTGGTAAATAACTCGAATTTATTTTCAAAAAACTATATTACAACAAATACTAAGAGCACTCCTATGAACATATTCACAATTAAAATACAAAAGAATAAGGCCTAGAAGTCCTTTTGAATATGTTATTTGTTTTAAAATGCATCCTAAACTACACCATAAGTTTCCATTCAATCCTTACATTATAGTTTATATCAATTGAACTATCCAACTTATGAATTTGATTCTATTTTAACCTTGGATTAATTTTACTCTGACAATAGCATGTGGGCCCTTCATGTTATTGCTCTTTTAAGCATATTTTAGACAAATTATAAATAACTAGGTACATTACACTAATGGTGTTTGAAGTTTACTACTCATTGATCCGTAAAGTTTTTATTTTATCAATTCCGTCTTTAAAGTTTAAATATTGAGCAAATGTGACCCTTGATACTAACTATTGTTAGGAAAAAAAAGGGGGGAAATACCATGTGCATGTCTTGTACATGTAGATCTATAGGTGCGTTTATGGTATTTTACAGCAATCAATGCATCCAAACACAATTATTCTTTAATCGTATACATTAAACATTACACCAAGTATCCATCTTCTTCTTCCTTTCTTTTTTCCCCTTATCTCTCTTGCACACAAGTAATATCCTACTTTCTCCGCCTAATTCATCTATGCACATCACTCTACCTCAAACTCACAAATCGGTATCCCTCAAACCCACATTTCTCTCTAGATCTTGTGTCTCCCATCCTTAAACCCAACACATCCATCCCCCCTCAAACCCACAAATACACATGCACAACATAATCCCAGAAAAGCACATGCACAACGCAATCCACAAAAACACATGCAGACAAATACCTAACTTGATTTTTTAAGACCTTTATGTGCAATCAAGTCCCAATAATCACATCACCCCATAAATTGCTCACTAATCAAACTCAGTATCAAACCCCTAAATTGGATTGATGAATAGTTATCAAATTGATGATATGAATTAGAGAGGGGATTAAGACGGAGAAGAGGGTTTGAGGTGGAGGAAAACATAGGGTCAGGGTTTGGGGGGGAAGGGAGTCGTAGAGAAGATTGAAGGGATGGGAGGGTTTTGGGGAATTTGGGAAATTTAGGGTGGATGAGGTTGGGTGGAGGAAAACAAAGGGTTAGAGTTTGGGGGGAGGGGAGTCGCAGAGAAGATTGAGGGGATGGGAGAATTTTGGGGAATTTGGGGTGGATGAGGTTGGGATATGAGAGTTGAAGGTTGGGAGGGATAGAGGAAATGAGATAGTGGTGGTGGAGGTGGTGCAACACTAGCGGTGGAGGTGGCATAGCGCTTAAGGGAGATGAAGTTCCGAAAGAGAGAGAGAAGGATATCTGGAAGGGGTGTGTTTGTGGCGGTGTTGCTGGCGATGGTGGTGTCGTTAGAGATGACACAACAGAGAAGATTGGTCGTTGGAGGAGAGGTCTTCTTCGTCGGATGGTGGGTGACTGGTTAGAGGCTGCTACGCCGGAGTGGTCTTCTTCGTCGGAGAGGTTGTTGTCGTCGGAGAAGATGATGATGGGTAGTTGGAGGAGTGGAGAGACGGATCTGAATATGGATTTGAAAATTTGAAATAAGATATGTGATTTAGAAAAGTAGAAATTAATTTTATTCGCTATTTAAAATGACACCTTTAAAACTGTCATGTTTTTAAGTTTAACACTGTTATGAAATCGTCAAATTAAAACATCATTAAAAATGATGTTTTTAAATGCATCACTTTAAATGATATTTTTATTTATTAAGTCAAAGTTTGTTTTATGTTCTTAAAGTTTAAAATATTATTTTAAATGATATTTTAAATTATAAAGACGTCATATTTTGAAAGACGTTTTTGAAAAAATAGTGAATTTAAGGAGTAAGGTTAAAATTGTCTAGGTTGGAGAATAAGATTTTGAGTGGCTGGTTTCGGCGAAAAGCTGGGGTGTTCCGTCTCAAATGTCAGTCTTGTTTCATAGACTTCGTTTCTGCTCTTAAAGTTTGACCATGGATACAGAGTTGAAATTTCTCGCCATCAAATCTTCGGATCGACCTTTCTTCAACTTCAATTCCAGATTCAGCATCTGCAATGAATTTGAGAGAGTATGCGCGTGAATAACTGGGCGGAAGGGAGAACAACCTATTCTCTGCAATTGGTGTGTTCTTTGTTACTTTGAATAATAGATCCAAATCCTCTTTGGCTAGCTGTTTTTGCAATGTTTCTGAAGAATTGAGGGTGATTTTGTGATGAATTAATTGACAAGGGCTTTGGTGGGAAAAGGGATGGTGGACTACCAGAGAGGAGAAAGAGAGAGGACAAAGAGGGGACGAGAGAGGTGGGGACGTTCATTGTTGGTACTCGTCGGAGGAGACATAGAGAGAGATTGGGGTGTTTTGTGATGGAATTAAGAAGGGTTTTTAGCGGAAAGGGGATTGTGGACTGGTTCTTTCACGGCAGAGGAGAGAGAGAAGAAAGAGCGGGAAAGAGACGAAGGCGTTGTGGGGGTTGTTCATGAGAGAGAGAGAGAGATTGGTGTTGCGAACTTCCTTCCTAAAGCTCCAGTTCAACTGATGCATAAAATAAAGCATAGCCCCACCATCAATCACCATCTCCGGAAGCTTGAATTTTATTCTGTATCTTTCTGCCGGCCTCCAACAACTTACAGCTTTCGTTGGCCTGCAGAGCATCTTTTCTAAACTTCAATTCACTTAAATTCACAGGTCAATGTGTACTCTCCACTTCTTCAACGTTCACTATTTTTGTTTCGTTTCTGTTTCTTGCATAGTCGAAAAAGTAGTCAATGCTGTTTCTTAAACCAATGAAGTCAGCGCTTTCTGGGTCACTTTCCATTTATCCGTTCCTCTCCTTCATCTTCTTGATTCACAACTTACATTCCTCCTCAGCCACCTCCCTGGTTGCTAGAAACAACACGGATCACCTCGCATTGCTGCAATCAAGGCTAAACTAACCTCTGACCCGACTCTAGTCACGGCATCATGGAATGAATCCACCCATTTCTGCAACTGGGCGGGCATAATTTGTGGTCGAAGGCATCGAAGAGTAATCACGATCAATCTGCAATCCATGAGGTTAAATGGTACATTATCGCCTTCCGTTGGTAACCTGACTTTTCTTCGGAATCTTGAACTTGATGGTGATAGAGCACTAATTTAGGATTTCATTTATGTATAGAGTTTACTTTTCTTATTGTAATCTCTCCTGTAATCACTCTTTAATTAGGCTGATTTCTCTCCTTATAGGCTGATTTAGTTTCCTCTTACATGTCCTTAATCACAGGACACTAATCACTATATATTGTAATTTCTTCTGTTATTGAAAAATACAATATTCATACAAATTTTTTATGGTATCAGAGCACCCTCTGTCATAGAACAGAATTTGATCTCCTTTCCTCTATTCGATCTCCTTCCTCCATTTCTTTCAGCTCTGCCAAAATTCTCACCTATCAACCATGGCAACACCACCGACCTCTCCCACCTTTGATTCAGCTGCATCAACTGGAGCTACTCCTGCTGTAACGACACCAACGATCACCCGACTGAATCAAGGTAACCCTTCCTCTCCTGGCAACAATCTGATATCTTTGAATGCCTCATCTCAGATTCCATTCAAGCTAGCAATAGGAGGAGAATATTATGCTTCCTGGAAATCACAAATGACCAATCTCCTATTCGGTTATGGTCTACTCGGTTATGTTGATGGCTCTTATCCATGTCCACCAAAAACCGATCAGGAACACGTCACTTGGCTTCGCCAGGATCGACTAGTGCTACTAGCGATTCAATCCACCATTCATGGCACAATCAGTCCCACCATCAACAACTGCCCTACTTCCGCTGATGCCTGGACCAAACTGGAATCCAGTTATGCAAATCGATCCAATATCCGCATGCTCTCTCTTCTGTCCACGCTAATGAATACCAAGAAAGAAGGGAAATTAGTTGCCACCTATATGAGCAAAATAAAAGGTATTGTTGACGATCTAACTCTTATTGGCCATCCCTTGAGTAATGCAGAAATCATGGCTCATACTCTAAATGGTCTTGCTGACGAGTTCAAGGAACTAACGGCTGTGGTTAGGGTTCGTGACTCACCTATATCATTTGAGGATCTCTACGACAAACTTCCTGATGAGGAGTTAACCCAAAATCGTGGACACACCAAAGAGGACGATACACAGATTACTGCTCAATTCACTCAAAGGCAAAGCAACTACAAAGGCAAGGGTGGTAGAGGAAATAAAAGCGGATTCAATCCCTCCAATTCAGTTCTTGGTCATTCTGGACAATCCAATGGCCATCCTGGACAACCATCAAACTTCAACCAATCTGGTCTTCAACCTAATCAATCTTGGCAGCACTCATCCTATGGCCGAGGTTCCTCTTCTCAAGGGATGGGTTTCAATTAAAACTTTCAACCTTCTTCATGGAATCCGAATTATTATCAGGGACAACAGGGGCAATCCCGTATTGTGTGTCAACTGTGTGATAAGCCGGGACATAGTGCAAAAACATGTCGCTCTCGGGGTCAACCCTCCTCTCGACCTCAAGCTAATTATGTGGATGGAGATTCTATCTATGGCAACAACAATTGGTTGTTAGATTCGGGAGCTACTCACCATATCACATCTGATCTTCAGAATCTCTCTATACATTCGGATTATGTTGGGAATGAGGATGTTATAGTTGGCAATGGTAATGGAATTTCAATCTCTCACACAGGTTCTTCTATCATTAATTCGTCTCTTGCTTCATTCAAATTAGACAATATTTTGTGTGCACCTATGATAAAAAAAAATCTTATTTCTGTTTCTCAGTTTTGTAAGCAAAATAAGACCTCCATAGAATTTTTTCCTAACTATTTTCTTGTGAAGGATCTGAGTACGGAGGCATCCTTGGCCCAAGGCCGGAGTAGGAACAACTTGTACGAGTGGTCATCATCAACATCACCCACCAATTTTCAAAAACCGCCACCCTCCACATCCGTTGCTCTTACATCACAAGTCTGGCATCAGCGACTTGGCCACCCGTCCTTACCTATCCAGAAGAAAATACTTGCTAAGAATTTGATTTTTGTTTCTGATTCTTCTATGCCTAATAATGTGTGTAATTCTTGCCTATGTAATAAGAGTCACAAGCTTTCCTTTAAACATTCTTCTCTTATTTGTGATAAACCACTTCAAGTTATTTATTCTGACGTTTGGGGGCCAGCACCTATCATGTCTTTTGGAAATTTTTGCTATTATGTTATATTTGTTGATTATTTCACAAAATACACGTGGTTATATCCTCTCAAATAAAATCTGAAGTCTTTAATGTGTTTGAAAAATTCAAAAATCTTGTTGAAATTTTTTTTCGAACTCATATTAATGTGGTGGTGAATATCAAGCACTTTCTCATCTTTTGGCCAAATATGGTGTACAACACCTCACCTCACCCCCATATACCCCTGAACATGTTGGCTCTGTAGAACGAAAACACCGTCACATCATTGAAATTGGTCTCACCCTCCTTCATCAAGCCTCTATCCCTCTTTGTTTTTGGCCCTATGCTTTTCAAACCGCAACCTATCTAATTAATCGCATGCCTACACCTGTACTCCAAAATGACACCCCATACCAAAAAATGTTCGGCCACCACCCCAAATACACAACCCTCCATGTTTTCGGGTGTCTTTGTTACCCACGGCTTCGGCCGTACAATCACCACAAACTTGAGCCACGCTCTCGACCTTGTGTGTATCTTAGTTTTTCACTTCCAAATCATGCTTTTATCTGTTTTGATTCAAAAACTAACAAAATATTTATTTCTAGACATGTTGTCTTTTTTGAAAATCTCTTTCCTTGCAAAAATATTTCCTGTAATGAATTATCAGTCACTAACCAGTCTTTTTCAAAATTACTTTCTATTTTTACAGAAAAACATCTGACAAGTAAATCTTCCCTCATTAATACCTCATCAGATTCTTCTCATCCTAATCTAAACATTCTTCCAAGTGTCATTACTACAAATTTGTCTCCACAAATGCTATCTCCTATAAATCCTCCATGCTCTAATCAGATAACAAATCCGTCAACTCCCACTTTAAGTATGCAATCACCACCAGCTCAATTGTCCACCTCTCATCAGGAAACTCCTATTCTCTCCTCCAACTTAGATGACTCCCACACCTCTCCTAATCAGGTAAGTGATTCTTCGTCTTCATCGTCCTTAAATACATCACCCATTTCATCTCCACCCCCCGAAACATCACCACAACCTTCTCAAATGGTAACACGAGCCCAAAACAACATACACAAACCGAAAATACCATTCTCTCTCACTACTACTATGGCCAATCCCTCTATCCTCATTTACACAGGCCAACAAACTTCCTCAATGGCGTGAAGCCATGAATGAAGAGATTCAGGCCCTCCAAACAAATAATACATGGTCCCTAGTCCCTGCCTCCCCCACACAAAACATTGTTGGATGTAAATGGGTTTATCGAATCAAGAAAAATCCTGATGATTCCATTGCACGTTACAAGGCTTGCCTTGTGACTAAAGGGTTTCACCAACGCCCTGGCATAGATTTCAATGAAACCTTTAGTCCGGTTGTTAAACCAGCCATTATTCGTATCGTTCTCAGTATAGCGGTATCTCGTGGTTGGATCTTGAATCAACTGGATGTTAACAATGCTTTCTTGCAGGGTACTCTCTCTGACCATGTTTTTATGTAGCAATCCCAAGGGTTCATTGATTCCCGAAATTCGACTCATGTTTGCAAAATACATAAAGCTCTATACGGTCTTCGCCAGGCTCCTAGGGCTTGGTATAATGAACTTCGCACTTTTCTCCTTGACAATGGATTTCTCAATTCCAAAAGTGACGCCTCTCTCTTCATCCATTGCTCCAACTTTACAACAATGTATCTTCTTGTCTACGTGGATGACATCATTCTCATTGGAAATAATTCAGCAGCCATTCGTGCATTCACGTCTCATTTATCTACTCGGTTCTCCCTCAAGGATCTTGGCAGCCTCAGCTACTTTCTTGGTGTTGAAACTACTGGGTCCTCAATCGGTCTTTTCTTGTCTCAACGGAAGTATATCATTGACCTACTTCACAAAACTAATATGCATGAAGCCAAGGAAATCAAAACATCATTGTCCTCCTCTGAATCTCTGAAGCTCGACGACGGTTCGCCCAATCATGATTCAACTGCGTACCGTCAGACTCTTGGCTCTCTTCAATACTTGTCTCTAACTCGCTCTAATATCAGCTTTGCAGTTAACAAGTTGGCTCAATTTATGCACCGGCCGTCAACTAATCATTGGAATGCTGTTAAGCGTGTCCTTTGATACTTAAAAGGCACCTCTCACTATGGCCTGTTTCTATCCGCTCGCTCACCATCATCTCTCCATGCCTTCTCGGATGCCGATTGGGCTGGTGATGCTGACACTCGCCACTCCACTTCTGCTTATGTTGTCTTCCTTAGCTCTAATCCAATCAGTTGGAGCTCTAAAAAGCAGTCTACCATTGCTCGATCATCTACTGAGGCCGAATACAGGGCTATTGCGTCTGCCACTGCCGAAGTTAACTGGTTGTCCAATCTCCTTGGTGAACTTGGTGTTACACTCTCGTCTCTGCCGTCCATTTATTGTGTTAACATTGGTGCAACATACCTCTGCTCTAATCCAGTGTTTCACTCTCGCATGAAGCATGTAGCAATCGACTTTCACTTTGTTCGTGATCAAGTGGCTCGCAAGCTGATTCGTATTTCTCATGTCCACACAACCGATCAACTTGCCGATTCCTTGACCAAGCCTCTTGCTCGAAAGCAATTCCAGCTGCATCGATCCAAGCTTTAGCATCCTTCCCGGATCCTTGCACTTGCGGGGGCATGATAGAGCACTAATTTAGGATTTCATTTATGTATAGAGTTTACTTTTCTTATTGTAATCTTCACTGTAATCTCTCCTGTAATCACTCTTTAATTAGGCTGATTTCTCTCCTTATAGGCTGATTTAGTTTCCTCTTACATGTCCTTAATCACAGGAAACTAATCACTATATATTGTAATTTCTTCTGTTATTGAAAAATACAATATTCATACAAATCTTTTAGATGGGAATAGTTTCACGGGCAAAATCCCAGAAGAAATTGGCTGGTTTTCAAGATTGAGGATATTAAGTATTGGTAACAATTCCTTTTCAGGTGAAATTCCAGCCAACATATTGCGATGCTTGAGTCTTGTAATGCTTTGTTTGGCTGTGAATAATCTTGTGGGAAGGATTCCAATGGAGTTCCAATCTCTATTGAAGCTGCAGTTTATTTTTCTGTACTCAAACCATCTAACAGGAGAGATACCGTCATTCCTTGGGAACTTTTCAGCCCTTCAAAAAGTATCTTTGTTAGGAAATCATTTCCAGGGAAGATTTCCTGATACTCTAGGCCGGTTGACAATCCTAGAAAGTCTTACCTTTGGGTTAAATAACCTGTCTGGTAGAGCTCTATGCTGCTGGAAACTCCTTTCGACGGAACATTCCTCCATCTTTAAATTTCTTGAAAAGTATTGAAGTTTTGGACTTTTCACGCAACATCTTGACTGGGAAAATTCCAGAATACTTGGAGAGTCTTTTGTTCTTTCAGACTCTAGATCTATCTTTTAATTATTTTGAGGGTGAGGTACCGCTAGGAGGAGTATTCCAAAATGCAAGTGCAGTTTCAGTTGTTGGAAATAGTAAGCTGTTTGGGGGTGTTGTGCAATTGCAGCTTCCTAAATGCGACATCAAAGCAGCATTTAAAAATCATGGAATCTCTCAGGTTCTAAAATTAGCAGCACCGATTTTTGGTGGAATGTTGGTGCTAATTTTGGTGCTGTTTTCTGTTTTTGCTTACAAAGGAAGACATACAAATAAGGTGTCTTACTCTTTGCCAACTGATTTAACAAGGGATATATTCCCCAAAGTGTCTTATGAAAGCCTATATAGAGCTACAGATGGTTTCTCATCAGCCAGTTCGATTGGCTCAGGAAAGTTAGGCTCCGTGTATACAGGAATTCTCGATGAAATTGAAACTGTTGTTGCAGTGAAGATACTCGACCTTAAAGTCCGAGGACCTTCCAAGAGCTTCGTGGCAGTGTAAAGTGTTGAGACTTATCAAGCATCGTAATCTCGTGAAGGTTTTAACTTCTTGTTCCAGCATTGATTTTCAGGGTAATAATTTCAAGGCTCGTGTATGCATGTATGGATCATGGGAGTTTGGATGGTTGGTTGCATCAAAAACCTAATGAAGGCACTAAAAATGGGAAGCCACGTAGGCGGCTAACCATGCTGCAGAGATTAAGCATCGCCATTGATGTTGCTTGTGCCCTTGATTATCTGCATAATCATTGTGGAACACCATTGGAGCATTGTGATCTCAAGCCAAGTAATGTTCTGTTGGGCAGTGACTTGGTTGCTCATGTAGGTGATTTTGGATTAGCAAAGTTTCTTGGAGAGGCCACAACAACATTTCCTTCAAACCAAGCTAGCTTCATGGTACTAACTGGGACCATTGGATATGCTGCTTCAGGTATCTCTCTCTCTCTCCTTTTTCCCTCTCCTTTTGTTGTTATACTTTCTCCAAATGGTCCATCCTGGACTCGCCCTGCAATATAAGCAAAACCATAAAATGTTCTTATCTGCCTAGTCTGTCCAGTCTATGAGAGTTCACTCACAACATATATTTTATGGGTATAAACTGGAACAATTTTGATATGTAATAGCAATCATCATCCTAAGGCCTTTTTTAAACGAAATTACTTGGATTTCCAAAAATCAATGGGCAGTGTTGATCACTGTAGCATGTGGTATGAGTTAATTGAGTATGTGATCTGTAATCCTTGGCTGTTTATTGCAGTTTTTCATTTGGTCGTGTTGGAGTATAGATAGTAGTCTAGGTTTATTAGGATTTCTTTTCTCTTTTTTACCCTTACTATGATTTTTATATTTTGCCTATACTACAAGGATGTTTAAGTCACTCTGTATTATTTTTGGCTATATATACGGGACTCTACTTTGAGTTTGAGTATCCCTTTCACATATTCCAAGTTGGTATCAGAGCCAAAACCCTAGCCTCCATCTCTAAGTATAACTCATAACCCATAACCCAGCCCACCACCAACAACCAACAAAACCAAATGCCTCTTTGATCAATATAACTCATAACCCATAGCTCAGCCCACTCATTAACCCGCTATCGGGTCACGTGTATCTTTTCGTCACAGTGTCGCTATTTTTTCGCGCCACCCTTTTTTCTAGAGTTGCAATATCTAGGCCTTTTTGAGGAGGCACCAGATCCTTTTCTCCGTTGATCTGCTTTTAATGCAGTAGATTATTTATATTTATTGGATTTCTGGGCACCGTGACTTGATTATTTGGGAGCTTTTTGGACCTTCCTTATTTGTCGCTACTGTTCGACTGAAGGTATATTGTTCTCCCTTATTTTATTCCTCTATTTATCTTAGAGTTATTTTTCTGTCACGGGTGCCCTAGTATTGTTGTTGATATGGCTACTACTGAGGGACTTGAGAACCCTACTGTTGACACCTCTACCGTTGAGACATCTATGGGTACTTCCACTTTTATGTTTGACTAGTATACAGTGCCTACTAGCACAGTTGCATTACCAACATTACCGGGCATGATCTCTCAAAAAGTTACGGCACAATTGTTGAATGGTCGTAACTTCGCTGAGTGGTCACGCTCATTCCAGCTTTTCTTAGGCCGTGTAGGGAAGCTTGGTTGGCAGACGGGATCTCACCCAAAGCCAGCTGATGCCGACCCTGGATATTCTGCATGGTTCTCTGAAAACTGTGCCATTCTTGGATGGTTATTTGGCTCAATGGAGCCCTCTGTTTGCAGGATCCATCAGTTTCATAGCTCTGTTCCGAAGCTATGGAGCGCATTATCAGAGATGTATTCTCAGTCAGGACGGGGAGTTCGTGTTTATGAGCTTTCTCAGGAGCTCTCATATGCTCGACAGGGAGATATGACCGTTCAGGATTATTATGGCTATTTGACCCAGCGCTGGCTTGAGTATGAGTCTCTACGTCCTCTTGCTGCTATTCCGAAGATAGAGCCCGAGGGAGCAACATTCTTGCATACTCGAGAGCAGGAGGATAGGATTCACAAGTTCCTTATGGGGCTTCGTGATGAGTTTGAGGGACCTCGTTCTCAGATCTTGTCGATGTTGACACTTCCTTCTCTTTATGAGGTGTATGGGATGATTGAGCAGCATGAGCGTCGAGTCCGTATTGCATCACTTCCAGTTGCAGCTTTGACTCCTTCGATTGACCAGATGGCCCTTGTAGCTGCTGTAGGGTCCCGTTCAGGATCCTTAGTCAGGGATGGGCAACGCTCAGACCAGCGCCGTCAGGGCGCCCCAGATCAGCGCAGACGGGGGGATTCCCGTCAATGTGATTATTGTGGCCGACCAGGACATCTCAGGGCTACTTGCTGGAAGCTCCATCCAGAGCTTAAGCCACCTTCTCGCAGCCGTACTGTTGCTATTGCTGAGGTACCACCGCCCACTACCGCCACTCCTGCTACTGCTCCTCCTTGGCAAAGTGATATGGATGCTATCACTTCCCGATTAGATATACTTATGTCTGCTCTGACTTCTCAGAGTCTGACTACTGCTGCTGTCACCACTACAGGTATATCTCGTGCCTTTCACGCTTGTGCCAGTTCATCTCCCCTTTGGATGTTAGACTCGGGTGCGAATGGTCACATGACAGGTGAGGCCCATCACTTCACCACTTTTGACGAGCCGTTACATACACAGGTTCAGTTAGCAGATGGAACACATGCCCCTATTGTTAGTAGGGGTACAGTCCGTCTCCCAGATGGCCTTACATTACATTCGGTTTTTCATGCGCCAAAGTTGGCCATGAATCTATTATCTGTACATCAGTTAGCCAGAGATTTTCACTGTGCGATTGTATTCTTATCTGATTCGTGTTATTTGCAGGACCTGAGTACCAGGAGGATTATTATCAAGGGACATGAGAAAGATGGACTGTATTATCTTGGCAATCCATCTCCAGTTTCACCAATTCCTTCACCTGCACCTGTTTTGTCTTTTTCTGTTCCTAGCTTGCATGCTAGTATTTTACCTAGTAGTTGTCGTTATGATTTTTCGTCACAAACTGTTCAATTGTGGCATGACCGTTTTGGACATACAAATTTTAAATATTTATGTATGTTGTTTCCTGCTTTGAGTAATGCTTGTGTTGGTGGTAAACTTGATTGCGTTATCTGTTCCCTATCAAAACATGTTAGGGCCAATTATATTCCTCGCATGCACCAGTCACCCAAGCCATTTGACCTAATACACTCTGATATTTGGGGACCCTCTCCCGTTACTGCTCTGTCAGGTGCCAGATATTATGTGACATTTATAGATGATCATACCCGTTGTACTTGGGTCTACCTTTTGCATAGGAAGTCTGATGTGCTCCCTATAATCACTCAGTTTTTACAGATGATTAAGACACAATTCGATGTCATTGTTCGTGCTCTTCGTTCGGATAATGCCAAAGAATATGTGTCTGATGCTTTAGTGTCTCACCTTTCTTCTCAGGGTATCCTTCAGCAACTCACTTGTCCATATACTCCTGAGCAAAATGGTGTTGCTGAGAGGAAAAATAGGAGTTTGATAGGGATGGTACGTTGTCTGCTTAGAGGCATGAGGGTACCAAAATCTTATTGGCATTTTGCTGTTTTGACTTCTACCTTTCTGTGCAATCGTACGCCGAGTCGTGTTCTTCAGCATAAGGCTCCCTTACAGGTCTTATTTCCTGAGCGGACACTTTTTCCGGTCCCCCCTCGTGTTTTTGGATGCACATGTTTTGTTCAGGATCGGTCTCCTACTCGTCATAAACTTGATGATAAAGCGATTCGTTGTATCTTTGTGGGCTATTGTCATCAATCTAAGGGGTATCGTTGTTATGATCCTATTAGGCGTCGTATGTATCACAGTCTAGATGTTACCTTTCTTGAGCATATTCCTTATTTTCCTTTCAGTCCTTTGTCTGCCCCTCCAGTTGATGATACTCCCTTTGATTTCCATTACCACAAGAGTCAGAGTCATTGATCACTATCCCTACAGGGTCATCCGTTTTTCCTCCCAAGGAGTCACTCATCCCTGTCAGTACAGAGTTACCAGTCTCTCTTCCTTTGCAGGTGTATGCTCGTTGTCCTCGCTCTCATCACCCTGCTGATATCCCCTCTACCTCAGGCGATGCAGGTAATACTTCTCAGTTTGTTGAGCATATTGATGCACCTGTTGTTAGTACTGATGAGATTACAGGTGCTGAGCCAGTTACTTTACCTGATAAGATATTATCAGTAGAGGATGGTGATTTAGGGCGTCGTTATCCAAGGCGTGATCGCCGTCCAGTTGATCGATATGGTTGGACCGCCAAGATTTTATATCCGATCTCTGCTTATGTTTCTTATGGTAATCTGTCTCCCACATTTCGAGCTTATACTATGGCCTTATCAGATACGCTGGTTCCTCGCTCTATTTCGGAAGCTATGCGGGAGCCCCAGTGGGTTCTTGCCATGCAGACAGAGATGGACGCTCTTCAGCGTAATCATACATGGGATCTTGTCTCCTTACCTTCAGGGGTGAAGCCTGTTGGCTGTCGCTGGGTTTACACCCTGAAGTTTCTGGCAGATGGTACTATTGATCGTTACAAGGCTAGACTTGTGGCGAAGGGCTTTACTCAGGTACCAGGTCGTGACTTTGGTGCTACATTTGCCCCCGTGGCAAAATTGACTACTGTTCGGTTAATTATTTCTCTGGCTGCGGAGTACTCTTGGCCCCTTCATCAATTAGATGTGAAGAATGCATTTCTTCACGGTGATCTGGACGAGATTATTTATATGGATGCACCACCGGGCTTTCGTGGTGAGGGGGAGTATGCTGGAAAGGTATGTCGACTGCGTAAGTCTCTTTATGGACTGAAACAGTCGCCACGAGCCTGGTTCTCTCGCTTCAGTGATGTAGTCATACGATTGGGGTTCACCAGATGTCATTCTGATCATACCTGCTTTATTCGACGGAATACTTCTGGACAGTGTGTCATCCTTCTGGTATATGTTGATGATATTATTATTACTGGTGATGATATTTCTGGGACTGCGCAGGTCAAGATAGACCTTGGGAAGGCCTTCGATGTGAAGGATCTTGGATTTCTGCGATACTTTCTTGGGATTGAGGTTGCCCGTAGAAGCAGAGGTATTGTTCTTTCTCAGAGAAAGTATGTTTTGGATCTTCTTTCAGACACTGGGATGTTGGGGTGCAAACCGGCATCATCACCTATGATTCCAAACCTGAAGCTTACTGCTGAAGGTGAGGAGTTGAAAGATCCGACAGTTTATCAAAGATTGGTAGGTAGACTTATCTACTTAGCCAATACTAGGCCGGACATTTCATTCGCAGTCAGCCGAGTTAGTCAGTTCATGCATAGGCCATGTCAGCCTCATCTTGATGCAGTTTATCATATTCTTCGGTACCTCAAGTCTTGTCCTGGACTTGGATTGTTTTATGCATCAGGATCTCAGACCGGTTCTCTAGCCTGTTATTCAGATTCAGATTATGGGGGAGCATGTGATGGTCCATCTACTACGGGTTTCTGTGCTTTTCGAGGGACTCATCTTATCTCTTGGAAGAGCAAGAAGCAGACAGTTGTCTCCCGCTCGTCCGCAGAGGCAGAGTATCGGGCATTGACACTTGACACATGTGAGATTATCTGGCTACGATCGATTCTTGACGAGTTGGGTTTTTCAGTGACCTCTCCATCCACATTATATTGTGATAATCAATCTGCTATTCAGCTCGCTTCTGACTCTGTACTACATGAGAGAACGAAGCATATAGAGATCGATGTTCACTTTCTTCGGGAGAAGGTCAGCAGTGGTCTTGTTACTCCATCGTTTGTGGGGACCAGTGATCAAGTTGCGGATGTTTTTACCAAACCTGTCACTCTGCCTATTCTTCGGGACTCCGTTGTCAAGCTTGACTTAGTTGACATTTTTGCGCCTAGCTTGAGGGGGAGTGTTGGAGTATAGATAGTAGTCTAGGTTTATTAGGATTTCTTTTCTCTTTTTTACCCTTACTATGATTTTTATATTTTGCCTATACTACAAGGATGTTTAAGTCACTCTGTATTATTTTTGGCTATATATACGGGACTCTACTTTGAGTTTGAGTATCCCTTTCACATATTCCAAGTGATCGAAAATAGACGTGTTTGGTAATAGTTCAACTGTCACTGGTAGGTCCCAAATGCACACAAATCCTGCCAATGCATTAATTTCATGCAAGCCAAAGTTACAGTCAACTTTTTTCTTTGTTTTTTTAACTTCCGAGCATCATACAAAGAAGATGAGGTCTGAGCTAATTGTGGTGTGGTGAGCATGCATGAGATTCAAAGATACCAAGATAAAGGATTTGCAATTTAGGTACCATTCAACAACTCTTTTACGTCATTCTTTTCTTTTTCTTTTTATGAGAAAAAAACAGAAAGTAGTTTTTGTTTTGCATCCAAAAATACCATATGATGTTTAGAGGTCACATTGTGAAAGTCTAAAATCTGAGGATGGCCAAATCTCAACACCTCTCAAATACTTGCATAAAGCTGAAGTTCCAAAAGCCAAATTCCAGACTTGGGGGGGATAGTGGGAATGGTCTCCCTGCTCCTAAGTTGGCCTTGCCTCTGCCTGAGTACAATCATTGTTTGAACCGTCTATGGGACCATGCTTTGCAGTTTTCTTACCTTCACATCAAAGCACCCACATTTGATTCAAGGCAAAAACAAGGACCGCACTCACCAGGTGTTATTAGGAGAGGTAACTTCACAGAGACCTAATCTTTGGTGAAGTTTGCACAAAATGATTTCTTAACTTGGGTTCTCAGACTTGCTAGAACTTTTTTCATCACACCAAGCAATAGTCCTTTCAAAACACATGCAATTGTGGAAGTAAAATAGAAAAATAAAAATATAAACTAATACTTGTATTTATAATATGCAGAGTATGGCATGGGCTGTGACTTTTCAACATACGGCGATGTGTACAACTATGGAATCCTCTTGTTGGAGATGTTCATTGGAAAGAGGCCCACTGATGACATGTTTAATAGTGGTGTGAACCTTCATAACTTTGCTAAGATGGCTATACCTGAACGAGTTATGGAGATTTCTGATCCTACTCTGTTGCACACTGAAGACAAGGATACAAGTAAAAGCTTTCAAACTTGTACCAAGTCGAAATATGAAATTATTGAGGATTGCCTCATTTCAACTTTTAGAGTTGGAATTGCTTGTTCCATGGAATTGCCAAGACAAAGAATGGCTATCAGTTCTGCTACTACTGAACTGCTTTCGATCAGACATTCTACTTGGAACTGGGATGAAACAAGAGGAAGGCGCAAAGTAAACCCAAGGGGTATGACTGGAGTTCATATTGGGTCATATACGCCTCAGCTGTTACTTCTTGGTCTGTCTCATGCTCTGCTTTAATTTTATGCTCTTTTACTCTTTGTTCTTAAGGTCTCCTCTTGTAGTTTGGTCTCTAATCATCATTTCTTTATCCATTCCATTTGAAGGAAATGAAAATAGAAGAAAACTGTTCTATGTAGTGAGGCAATAGCAAGTTTTGGAAAAACAAAGAGGTAGCTTAAGAAGATACCATCAACTCATATTAAGTTGAAGCACACAGACCATAATAAGATTGGTATGGTTGTCAGGGTATGTATATAGCAGATAATATATCCACAGGCCTGCCAGATTAGTACTTTTTTTTTTGTATAATTTGAACTGGGAGTTGTTGTTATAGATTAGAATGTAGTAAGCTTATGATCAGTAAGCAAAATAGTCTCGAGTGAATCTGTTGGCATGGGACTCGTGGTACGCTAGAAGTTTTTGCCGATATTATTCAGTGACTTTTTCCCACTTACCGTTGAAATTTTACTCATAAGAGTTTTATTTTATCCTTGTAAGAGAAGTTAAGTTACTTGAGTATTTCTTTCTGAAGATAAAGAAGATTGCAATGCTAAATTTTGGGAAATTAGTTGTGTTTGTTCTTGTTTATGGAAAAAAAAAAAATTACTTGACTGCTTATAGGTAATCAGCATCTGTGTCTGATAGTGTCGGTTTCCTCGACTGGCTATACCCCTCGCAACAGCTTTCCGTCTTCCCTTTTTAGTTTTCAAGGCATCGAGGGGTTTGAGAAAGGGGGATCCGTTGCAGATGTTTTCTAAAGTAGATTAGCGATTTGGGCAAGCGATCAGCTCAGGCAATCGGAGGTCACTCTCAGTTTGCTCTTTGTTTTTAGTGTAGGGGAATAGCTGTTTGCAGCTGACGTAATCACTTTCGTAACACATTCAAAATGATCCAACCACTAATCAGTTTTTAGCCGAGGTTTGCCCAAAACTCATGTCCCATGAAAACATAATTTCATAACCCAGTGTTTTTTTTTTAAAAATGTCATTTGAAATGACGCTTTCTCGCTTAAAAATGTTATTTGGAATGACGATTTTCACATGAATATTTTTTTATAAAATGTCATTAAGAATGACGTTTTTAAAGTCGTCATTTCTAATGATGTTTTGTAACAAGAATTTTAAAATGAAGCGTAACAGTCGTTAAAAAAAATAAAGGCTATAAAATGTCATTGGCGGTGATGTTTTTAAAAACTTCATTTGCAACGACGTTTTATACACTTTTATGTTTAATGACGTTTTCTACTCCTTAGCTTTTATAATGAAGTTTTTTACCCCTTAATCTTTTATATTGATGTTTTATACCCCAAAAATCTCCAACCACCAACTTGTAATAAATGTCATAAAAGGTAAATAACCCCATCTTATGTCTCATTTCATGATTCACTAGACAAAAAATAAAATAAATTTTAGAATTTAATTCTCTTTTCATAAAAAGTTTGAACTTATTTTATAATCGAAAATAAAATTCATAATAATTTAATTTCATATTTTATTCCCTTTTATGTTTAATAACATTTTGTAACCCTTAGCCTTTATATTGACGTTTTCTATCCCTTACCCTTTTACATTGACATTTTCTACCCCAAAAGTCTCCAATCACGAACTTGTAAATGTCATAAACGCTAAATAACCCTATCTTATGTCTCACATTATGATTCACCAGAGAAAAAAAATATTAAATAAATTTTAGAATTTAATTTTATTTCATAAAAAAATTTAACTTATTTTATAATTGAAAATAAAATTCATAAAAGCATAATTTAATTTCATATTATATATTTAATAAAACAACTTAAAAGCGTGTTTTGAAAGCACACTTTTATATCAAAAAATATGTTTTGTATATGTTAAAAATATCACTATTATAATCTCACTTCCCACGTCATAAAAACATCCCAATCTGGAGGAGCTTTTCCCCAAATCCAGTCGGTCCTAAAACTTTACTTCTCAAACTCAATTTTTTTAAAAAAACGTCACTTTAAAGCCATGGTTTTGAAAAACGTTTGTTTTTAAAATTTTTTTGTATATGTTAGAAAATTATGTATTCCAATTTTATGTTATATGTTCATCGAACATTTATAGTTGACCTACAAAAGTGTGTTGAACTTTAAAATATGGAAAATATTACTTATACATTACAACATAAGTAATGTTTTGGGTTTTATTTGAGTTTTGTAGTATTCTTCTTTTGAGTAATGTCAATCTGACTAAAAAAATGATAAAAAATAGGGACCAAATGATATAGTGGTATTATTGATTTTACTTTTACACATTTGAAATTCAAATTTGTCTTATTATAATAATATCACATCATTTGATCTACATTTTTTACTTCCCTTTTTAGGTCGGCGTTTACTAATGATTTTTTTAACCGATGAAGAACCAGTAGGGTTTTAATCTTATAATGAGATGAGTATGATTTTAAAATTTAAATTAATCTATTTTTTTAAGATAGAATTTAGAAAAGATTATTCTTATGGGCCTACCACACTTGGAATGACGATTTGAAAAGATAATTTTTTGTGTGCAGTTGTATTTTGATTTCCTTGTTGAACATAAACACAATTACACCCCTTTGATTTATCACTTCTCTCAAATATTTCTTCTATTAATAAAAAAAATAACAAAAATGATATTGTCACTGACATTGTATAACTATTCCACAAAAACTTTGGCATCATGTTTATGGCATTTCACACGTACATAATAATGGCCTTATCGAAAAATCTTGATTCAACCCTCAACTGATGAAAATGAGTGAAAAATTAACCCGCGAACTCTCTACTTCAGTGATTGATCTAGGTTTAGAAATTTCAACTAATACAAAGAGCATGAGTTGGAGTAAGTAGGCCAAATATTTATGCGCCAATGTTGATGAAATGATTCCAAAAGAGTACAAATTACTTTGGTACTTATTTCTCAACAAGTATGCAGTCCACGAAAATAGGTGGAATTTAAAGCAACATCCTGTAGAACGAACATGGACTGACATGTAGTCCCTAAAAACAGTGAGACATCAATGTAGCATACAAAAGAAAATTTGATCACAGTAAATTCATCACAAAACTAAAAGTACAGAAAATATCTTCTATCAAAACATAAAACTTTGTTGTTTGCCATGAATCAAGGGTTTGTTTATGGAAAGACTAGTGACATAAGAGCATCGAACTTCATTTTCCCTTCTCTTTTACCCCCTTAAGTTAACAAGGCTTTAAGATGTTTCCTTCCACACTTTGTCTATCTGAAATGTACCAGTTTCTCCCCCAGCCACTATAATCCCTCACCATCAAGCATACCAATACATTTAAAGAGGGATATAACTTGATACAGATACAGTGATATAGCAAAATCTTGATAAAACAAAGAAAAAAAAATACAAGAAGCGCAAACAACCCAACAATAGCAATGCATATATCCATTTAATATTATATTTTGCTAGTTAAGAATTTTAAACAATCCCTTGAAGAATTCAACCTTTGTACACACAAAAGCATATTACTATAACATTATTCCAACAACACTAAATAGTAAGCACTATAATCCCTTCCAAAGTTTGTTAGAAAAAAGCACCCCTCATATTTGTTTGTAAGCACAAAAAAACCATAATACAACACATCAACATATCAAAAAAAAGTTTACCCAATCCAACACATACCCAACCATAAGCACGCACGAATACCCACACACGAAATCTCTCTTTCTAATTGTATATAATGAATATATTTGGTGTATAAACCCAGCCCATTACTCGCCAAACCTAATTCATATATCCCAACACTAATTCAAATAAAACCCATAAATTTCCACATTTCTCTCAGTCTACCACCTTGTCAAAATCATTCAACTAAACCAATTCCATCAAATTCAAAAACATATAACATATAAAATCACACCCACACACATACATACATATGGAATAGATATACTGACCAGTAGGGGTGCTTGGGTTCCTCTCTTACCTTTCTTCTTAGCAGAATCTGGAACAAAAAATAGGTTTTAATGTCTGATTTGATTTTGAGGTGCGCTAGGGTTTGATTTGAGGGGTTAAGCGCCGGATTAGCATCAGTTAAATCAATTTAGGGCAAAAAATATTTAGGGCAAATGTGGAGAATGGAGAATGGAAAAACTGCTCAGTCGATGGTGGAGGTTGTGGTCAGTCTCTTTGTTGAAGTCGTTGGTGGAGCACTGTGCACGCTGGTGGAGGGTTTGCTCGCTGGTGGAAGTCATTGGTGGTGGCTTTGTTGAAGTCGCTGGTTGGAGCTCGTCTGAGTCTTGTCTAGCTGAGACTGGTTGAGGAGGAGGAGAGCTAAGTGGTCTGAAATTAATTTAAGTAGGAGTAGCCTGTGATATGTGAAATTTAAGTGGTGTAACATTACAATCGTCATTGTAAATGACGTTTTAACCCTTTTATTTTTTTAACATCTGTTAGGCTCCGTTTAAAATTCTTGTTACAAAATGTCATTAGGAATGACGACTTTAAAAATGTCATTTTTAATGACGTTTTAGGAAAAAAAAATATATGTTGAAATCGTCATTTCAAATGACGTTTTTATGCGAGAGGCGTCATTTCAAATGACGTTTTTAAAAAAAGACTGGGTGTGAGAATTAAGTTTAAAAATAACTGGGTTATGGAATTATATTTTCATGGAACATGGGTTTGGGGAAAACCTCATTTTTAGCTCATTTGAATAAACTAATAATTATTGCATCGTGGGCTGTTCTCTTTAATTCAAGACGTGTCTAAAAGAATGAAAAAAATGGCTGTCTTTTATTTTATTTTCCTTCTCAATGCATTCTAATGTGTTCTGATTGATTACATTAGAGCATCTTTAACTTGCTCTCTATTTCCTTTCTTTTAACTATTAATACAAAAAACACTCGTCAATCCACTCTCTATTTTCCATTTCACCTAAATGACTCTCCAAATGTGGAGAGTCATTTAGCCTCTCTAACTTCTGTCTCTATCTCTCTCTATATATATGTTATGTTCCCTTTAAATTATTAAAAGTTAGTGAAAGTTGGATGAAGTAATTATGAGTAACTGAGGTAGTAGGGTTTGGCGCAA